CGGGTAACACGAGATGGAATTTACATGAACCACTCAAGGTAGGAACATTGAATGTACGGGGATTTTGAAATAATAAGAAACGATCAGCAGTTTAAACAAATTTCCGGTCTGAAAAATTAGATGTAATAGGTATACGGGAAAGTCATTTATAAGAGTTAGATCAAAACGAATTATTAAAGCAATGGGGTGATGTTATATACTTTAGTCATGGAAGTAAAAGGAGTAAAATCCTTGTTACTCTTTTTAATCCACGCTTTAATGCAAAAGATATAGATTTAATTTACTGGACTGATAGGATCTTAATATCTTCTGTTGTGATTGAAAACGAAAAAGTGTTCTTTATCAATGTTTTTACACCTTGGGAATAATGAAAAAAAATAGTGTTCATATACGAGCTCTGTACTCAAATAAAGCAATATTTGGCTGATGAAGGCAATGGAAATATAATATGCATGGGGGATTTTAACATAGCTGTTGGGGAGTTAGACATGATTTTTGGGAGCGGCTCATAGGAAGGATATATGTCAATATTTTCAAAACTTCATACACACAATGAGTCTGACTGATTCACGGAGATCTCTGCATCCCTTGGAAAAAGCCTACACGTGGAGCAGAGGTAGCCCAATGACTGCCAGACGACTTGACTATATTTTTGCCGGTGAGTCTCTTGTCTCTGCTATAAGAGAGTCCGTCATAAAGGGGATAGGTTTTAGTGATCACCGCATGGTAGTGACTTAGTTTGGGTTTTCAAATTTCAAGTTTGTGAAAGGGCAAAATAAAGTAAACACTTAACTCCTTAAAGACCCGGCTTATTGTAAAATAGTTATAAAACTTTTACATTCTACTAGAGATGAATTACAAAGACGTTGACCCCCATTTACGATGGGAAATGATTAAATGTGATGCAGCAGAAATTTCTCAACAATACAGTCATTTCAAAACAAGAAAACATTCATACAAACATAAGCTACTGAAATCACGTCTGAACTCTTTAGAAGAAAAATTGACAGCTGATCCTGATAAATAAATATTTGTGGCAGGCGAAAGTCCAAAAGTGAATTGGAACTTGATGAGTTAAAGAAAGCACGGGGGCACAGTTGAGAGCGGGCTTAAAATGGGTACAGGAGGACGAAAAATGTTCAAAATACTTTTTTCTCTGGAAAAATGTTGGTCAAACGTTAACACCATTAGAACATCCAAAACGCCTGTGGAGAGTGCATCCGCAAGGAAACGGATATTGTAGAAGAAATCGGCAGCCACTACGAAAACATCTATAATAAAGTTAACAGTCGTAATAAATCGTTTTGAGTTTGTTTCAGAACGTATGGGTGCATTTACTAATAACATATATCTTCCAAGATTATCAGAGGATGAAAAAATTGTTTTGTGATGCTCCATTTCTAGAGAATGAGGCAGCAACAGCCTCAATCGAGCATGGCCCTGCTCCGGGATGCGACGGTCTGCCAATTGAGTTTTATCAAGTATTCAGGGAGCATATTAAGGACACTCTAAAGGAAAGTTATAACTACAGCTTCCAGATCAACGAGCTGTCTCCATCAGAAAGGGTAGGAGTAATATCTTTACTACATAAGGGTAAAGATCTCTCCACGAATAGCCTCAATAACTAGAGACCAATTTACATAACGAATACAGATTACAAAATCTTATCTAAAGTTTTATCCTTACGTCTTAACTCTGTTGTAGATAAGCTCATTGGAGACCAACAAATGGGATTAATGAAAGGAAGACATATATCCATAATTTGCAGAGATATTGATGATTTTTTACACCGACACAAGACCACAGATTCACCAGAAATCATTCTCACGGTAGATTTCAAATAGCCATTTGATTCTATAAACCCCAACTGTATCCTCAAAAGCCTAGATGTATTTGGCTTTTGCCCAAACTTTCGAAAATGGATTGAATTATTAAATACAGAAAGAATTTCGTGTGTAAAAAAATGGAGGATGTGTCTCAATGCATTTCCAATGAGTAACGGTGTTCGAAAAGGCTGTCCGATTTCACCTCTGCTGTTTATTCTTGCTGTGGAAACTTTAGCTCAAAAAGTAATCCAGAACAACACCATTAGTGGTATCAACACCTATCCGGGTTTGGAGTCTATTACAAGTAGTTAGTATGTAGATGACACAACCTTATTCCTGAGGAATGCCAATGATTTGAGAAGAGCCATGTCCGTTCTGAATGATTTTTCGGTCATTTCAGATCTGCAATTAAATTTGAATAAATCTTACGCCATGTGTACAAATTGCCCAGCTGTAACTATAGACAAATTTCCGATTTAGTTTGTTCCAACCATTAAAATTCTTGGAATATATTTTAGTAGTACAAAACCGACGGAAGAAGTAGAAGAAAACTGGAAGCCCATGATCGATACCCTCCTCAGAATGTTTGGACAATGGGCAAGAAGAGATTTATCAGTTCTTGGGAATATGCACTTTTAATTTCATACTTTTGGAATAACGCAGTTTCCTTTTTATTTGTAATGCAAAGCATATCGTTACCAGAAGATGTCCATAGCCAAGTGTCAGAATTTTTCATTAGAATTATGTGGAAAGGGCGTTCTAATAATAAAAGGGCTTTTGAAAAAGTTAAGCGGAAGGTTATGTGTAACGAGCTTGAAAACGGGGGTTTGCAAATGATCCACAAGACTAACTTTTAACATTCCATTCTTTTGCTCCAAAAGCGCAACGATGGAAAAATCTGGCAGTAGCTGTACTCAAAGATGTTGGTGGGTTGCAGATTTTTAGAAGCAAGGTAAAAGCAAGTAAATTAAAAGGGCTCGACGTTATATCTAGTAATGCGTTTTGGAGAAGTGTGATAATTAAATGGTTAGAATACTCTAATAAAGACACAGACTATGTCCTCTCGTTAAACGACTCTATTTGTATCAACGAATATATAACCTATAAAAATGAAACCCTTTTTTACCATCTTGTATACAAAGGGGCATTTTAACAAGAATGGATATAACTCAGGACGGACGATTACAGTCTTCAGAAGAGTTTGGAGCAAAATATGGATGTAATCTGCGTTGTGTTTTAGACTACAATATTATATCAAATGCGATGAGGAATGTGTATTTTAATGATGACAAGGATGACAACTTTTATTTCTGGGACACAATTTTAGGTACTATAGGGACAAAATATTTTCTTTTTGCAATAAGTAAAATTGAGCCACCACTGTGCATAGGTATTTGGAAAAGAAAATATGATGTTGATATTAATGAAAAACATTGGCAAATAGTCCATCACGCTAAGGAAACACGTTTGAGAACGTTAAATTGGAACATTTTTTTTACAACTGTAAGAAGGTCCAGCCACTTTGCAGACAAATTGAAAAAGATTTACGGGTTTACTTAAGTACACCAATTGTAATTAATGAGAATATTGTTTTACTTGGGGCGGTGAAGGGAATCGATGTAGATCACCGGGAATGGGGGTTCACAAATGAAGCAATTGCAATCGGAAAATTAACTGTGTCAAAATATAAGTATGGGAAAGTAAGAAATATCATAGAAATTTATGAGAGTGAAAGTAGTCTCAGACAATTGTGGGCTAAAAGTTAAAGCTAAGCCTTCCAGTCTGCAGCTCATGCCACTTTTGTTTCGTCCCCGCACGAGAGCGAGCTTAAGTGGAAGACTGTTATACATAGATGTGTGTGTGTGTGTGTGTGTGTGTGTGTGTGTGTGTGTGTGTGTGTGTGTGTGTGTGTGTTTGCGTGTGTGTTTGCGTGTGTGTAGGCATGAGTGTGTGTTTACGTAATTTAATTGTTTAATTTTACTTCAACATCTCTTTGCCTTCATTATACTCTTAGTCAGACTTAATGGTGCCATTCGCGGTCGCGTGTCATCACGTGGGGCTCGAATAGGGAAGTAGTTAATTTGATATAACATTTCCTACACTTTAAACTAACTATTCTGTCATTTCATTTCATTAATTGTAGCCTATAAATGTACTATCTCTTTGGAGATGGGGACTTCAAATGCCCCTGGTGTCTGAGTTGTCGCTGGACGCAATTTCGCTTTCGGTCCTTCAGTAATGTGTGTTGTTTTATGCGTGTGTATATATACGACACACACACACACACACACACACACACACACACACACACACACACACACATATATATATATATATATATATATATATATATATATATAATATTGGTGAATTTACTGATATCACTTTAAGAAGAGGCGATCCTGTAATTCTCTGGTTGCCTGGGCATTTTTCCCCAGACTTTTCACATGCTCTGACGATCACAAAAGTGCCTTGGGATGGGTTGCGAATGACGACAGCGGTAGCTTGCGAGCACACAAGTTAGTCTAGATGTGTGGAACACAACGGCATTGACTATGAAAAGTAATATAACAAAGGTTATTGGCCACACCCCTTTCACTGTTTTGAAAATGTGATAGCGTAGACGTAGGGTAACAAACAGACGAACAAAGTCATCACTTGAAAGTGGCCCCCATGTGATTTTTCGGCTTACTTTTATTAAATGCTAGGAATGAAGATGACGAATTATTTCCTATTTTTTAGTCACTCTATGCAAGGAGTTGGGAATGAGACTTGTGCCCCCCCCCCCTTTTCCCCCAGGACAGCCTGGCGGGGGTCTAGAGTAAGCGCCAAACACACTTAACACTAAGACTAATATGCACATTATTTCCAACATCAGAGCATCATCACCATCACCATCACCATTCCATCACCATCATCATCATCATCATCATCATCATCATCATCATCATCATCATCATCATCACCGACTAAACAATTCCCCTTTTTCTTGTTTCGTTTTTCTAGAAAACATAACAATTTGCTCCATGTCAGTACATTTTTACGTAACCAACAAATACCAACACCAAAATCAGGACCCGGAACAAAAACAAAAACAAAAACAAAAACAAAAACAAAAAACTATCACGCCATCAAATAACAATAGCAGCGTTGACAATCAACAAAGTCGACAGAAACGTTATCAATGTATTTTTAGTGATAACTGGAAATAACGAGAGATACAAGAACAGTCAATGCGTGAACAGAGTGTGTAAACCGGTGTCATGTCAAATATCGCGTCATGATGACGTGAACACATCCACACAGATAGCTTGGCGAGTGCTCTGGTCTAGATGCCCTGACAAATGCTCTGCTCAGACGCCCCCTTTTCTGTGCCGCTATCTGCCGTTACAAGCTCTCGAGCAAGTACTTGGGCAGTTGAAAGTCAAAACTGTGTCGTCCTCACAGTCGTCGGGGTTTTGATCTTTGCAGTTACTCCAGATGTCAGTACAAGCATTGAATACTTTGTCCAAGAAGAATGCTGAGAAAGAAATGTAAAAATTTTTTTTTAAACCCATAGTTCTCAGTGAAGTTGATTGTACTGGAGCTTTTTTTTAAAGACAGCATATTATCCTGTATTGGATTAAATTGAGTCACCGATTCCGCATGATTATATCAAAGATCGTGCATAACAAGATAGTTCAGTTGGCCAAGAAAGTGTCCGCAAAATTCCACGCCTTGCTTCAAATGGCGCTGCAGTCTTTGATTTGAAGCTCTCTTTCGTTTCTCCAGAAGAAGAATAGGAATTGCACAGCTTATTAGTTTCGCTTTTATTGTTTTTCACTCCAGTAGGTTAACTCTGTTCGCAAAGTCCGCGCTTTTTCCAAGAGGGTGCCATCGGATTTTGAGGACACTTTTTTAATTGGCTCAACGAGTGGAGTGAACTATCTTGTTATGTACGATCTTTGATAATATTTATAACACGCCGCACATTTATTCTGCATTACCGAGGTAGATCTATCGATATCTTAATAAATAAAACAGGGAGATCGTTTTGAAAGATATTCAAGGCAACTGGCTGTTGAGAGAAAAAGATGTATGGGTTTATTTTTTTTTCTTCCCTGGACATTTTACGAAACTGGGTTTACTGGCTTTCAAAATAAAACTCCAATGCTGTCCAACAAAAAAAGAATGTCAACGACAGTTTAAAGAAGAAAGGAAAAGATGTGGCCGGACAGGAAGGCCTAATATTAGCACAGTTCGATTTGACATAATGTGAAACAACAGAAAACATAACATCGGCCATCTCATAACACATAATATAGTGTACAACGAGGCTATGTTCTTTTTTTGTTTGTTTGTTTTTTCTACCCAGCGCTTTTTCTCATATTGACCATTTCGTTATACGAGAACGTTTTGAATTAGTGATTTGCGTCCTCCAATTAACCTGCCTGCCCCCCTAAAATTAAGCAAAATGTCAAAGTGATATAACTCTCTCTCTCTCTCTCTCTCTCTCTCTCTCTCTCTCTCTCTCTCTCTCTCTCTCTCTCTCTCTCTCTATCTATATATCTATCTATCTATATATCTATCTATCTCTCTCTGTCTCTTCGTCTCTGTCTGTCTGTCTGTCTGTCTGTCTGTCTGTCTGTCTGTCTGTTTGTCTGTTTGTCTGTCTGTCTGTCTGTCTGTCTGTCTCTCTCCCTCTCTCTCTCTCTCTCTCTCTCTCTCTCTCTCTCTCTCTCTCTCTCTCTCGTGCGTCAAATAATTTTGATTTCATGGTTTTGTCCCTTAGACCAATATTGCTCTCTCTCTGAATAACAGCTGAGGAAGAGAAAAAAAGAGAAATCCTTAATTTAATAATTAATTTTTTCATTGTTCTATGGGTATAACGTCTTTACTTTAGTTTTAGTTGGAATTTTTTTTTCGGCACTTGCAACACAAATGGTTCATATAAACACCAAAGATTAAATAAGGTGCTACCAGATAGTACTGTAGCATACAAAGAAGAACAGTAGAAGAAATGAGGACAATATATAACTAATATGAAAAAAAAAGCAAATCACACCAGAACATCCGCCAGTCACCCTCTTTAAAGGCCTTTATTATGATGAGAGGAAAAGAATAGATTGAAGACAGCGGGCCACATGGTGAGATTTGGTTGGACAGAACTTTGGCTAACAGATCTTTCTGAATGTTTGCCCAGGGAGTTTTTTAAAGACCACATTGGAAGGCTACATATCATACCGATACTAGATCTGTCATTTCACAATATTATTGCCTAAGTCATTTCAAGGTTGCTGTTTTTTCAGATTTTTACTTATTTATCAAGTAAAAACGCCTGCTATTCATTCTTTTCTTATCCTTAAAAAGTCAGGTTTTTGTTTCGTGACCTAAAAAACCCAACCTCCTCCCCCCTGAAAAAAAACCCTTACAGAAACAACTACCACAACAAAAACAAACCATTTAATGCGACATTTTCACTTCAACTCAAGTCAAAATGATCAAAATGTTTCGGCCTACCATAAACGCATGATATATCACCTTAGATTGTGCTCTATGAAGTATATTATCCAGTTCACTATGGAGCACACCATTACCTCAGTTTAGGCCAAATGAAGGGCTAGGGGGAAAGGTACCACGAGCACTAGACTATAACAAGACCGCTGTATCTTCGTTTGGGAGAAAGAGTAGGCTACTCTAAGGTATCGAATAAAAAAAAAGGGGGGCGGGGTAGGAATAAACAGGGGGAGGAACAAGTGGTCCAAAATTGATAAACGGGGAAGGGGGGTTAGTGGAATAAAAGGGGGGTAGGCGGGTGTCACATTCAACCTCATACCCCTGTACTAGTAGGAACAAATCTGTTTTATTTCTCCTTCAGTGAATAAAAGAACAAGAGACCATGACATTTTTGTGATTTTAGTAAGTTACTGTGACAACTTTTCCTATTTTGGCAGGGAACCTTTTTTTTTTTAAAAAAAAGCTTTTTTTGTTTTGTTTTGTTTTTTGTTAAAGAAAAGTCCTCACTCGTGGAATCCCACAGACATTTGCTTCTTCGATCTAGAAGTAAAAAAAAAAAAAAGGAAAGCTATGATGGGATGAACGTACTAGATCTAGTTCTAGTTTGGGGGTGGGGATGTCCTTTTTACTGGTTTTTGGAGACTGAATCATTAATTTTCCGTTGATTTACGTGTGTTTGCTATATCTGTTATCAGCAGTCCAACTGGTGACCTAGCTTCCTTAGGGAATCAAAAGATGAGAGACAGAGACAGAGACAGGCAGAAAGACATATGTCCTGTAAATTAAGTACTTTCTTATTGAAGCGGGCGCATGTAACCTACGTAGATTCTAGTCAGTAACAGCTAAAACTTGAAAATGGCTTGTTTAAATCAAACAGCGTATACTTCCAATAAGGAACTGAGAGATCGTCATTATTTAGTACCAGACTATGGTAACCTACAGTCTCAACAGCTCAGTTCGTCCTAAAAGCTTCTTAGTAAGCAATTTTTCAAGTCGATACTATTAAGCCGGAGCTATAGTTGTACACAATAGGTTTAAAAGGGGGTAACTCTAAGGCCGGAGCTTACAATTAAATAAGTCTGAAAGTCACAAAGCTGAACAACATTCTTTTATAATATGCTTATTATACTTACGGTTAGGTGCCACCACAACTGCAATATACAAAACAAATGTGACGAAAAGGAGTAGATATGACCTCAACATGGTTAGAGATTCGTTCAGAGTAGACTAAAATGTGCACCGTTAATTACAGCTTCTGAGGCTGGGTGTGTTCACTTTAGGAGTCAGAGCGCTGTGAAAAAGACAGAGACTATGATTTCAAACAAGTACGTATATTATTATCTTTCTTTATCTGCGCTGAAGGAAAAGGTGCAGCTGACATTTTCGCAAGCTAAGACTTAAGCTTAGCCGTGCTTCGAAAACGATAGTTATAAAAAAACAACACACTAACTAGGTCACTAAGTACAAGGAGTCATGTGTAATGTGTTGTTCTACACCTTCTTCGTTCTGCTGTTAGATCTCGCAGCAGGAGTCTTTCAACCAGCTTAATTCAACGCTGTTCCGTTTTTGTTTTGTTTTTGTTTTGTGTAAAGAGAAGCTCATGAACTTGATACTGGTCTTTTAATTGGTTTAGAGCTGGAGGAAAACAAGGCAGACAGGAACAATGAACAGACAGAAAGCAAAGAAGTAGGACCAATCAGTGGAACACCTCCAAGCACCCGTGCGGCAGTTTCTATCATGTGTGGGTGATTTTCAGAAAAAGCATAGTCTTTTACCGTTCACTTAGCCATTTAGGTGCTATTTAATACATACGCGGTCCGATTAAGAGCCTGTTCGTTCTGATCCCCCCCCCCCCCCCCCCCGTGATATCATGCATTTATTAAGAACCCGTACTAAAAACAAAATCTGTCTAAGATCCCGACTGAGCCAAGAGCAATAAGCTTTTCTAACGATCCGGGTTCTACCACCCTATGCGGTCGCTGACAACAAGCGGTCATTAAAATTTCCAAAGAAAAAAAAAAACAAGAGGAAAGAGGTCTTGGTGAGAAAGGATTGAGGGTGGCGAGGACAATCTCAGATTGTAGAATTTTAAGACAAAGACCATAATCTCTGTGGTCATCAGTGAGCTCACTGTTCGACTTTTCATATCACCACTTGTTCTCATTCAGCCACTTTACCCCTTCACTGCTACGGTGACGTAGGATTCACATCTGCTCGAATACGCCTATGTGAGCTTTTATTCGAAGACTTGCTTTATCACTCAATTCTCGGGCCTGGCAGTGAATGGGATTAAAACCCCGAGCTCACATGCAAAAAGTCCACCCGTCACACATCTGCAAGTATGCAAATGAGGCGATTTTCGCCCGTTTGTCTCTTTTTCAACCCCAAGAGAGGTCTTATTTCGCAGCCATGCGACAAGTGGAAATCTTCCTGGCGCGTGTGACTCTATGTAAACCCAGAAGGATATTTTCTCGGGCCTGGTAATAGCCATACAGATCTACTATGTGATAGTGCTTTTGTAACTGTCAGTTTGTCTTCTTCTTTTTTTTTTCAATTTCGTTTCCCGTAAGAAAAGATAGTTTCAATTTTCTTTGCCGTACCATATCTGAAAGGACAATCTTGTCGCGCTTAAAAATATAAATTACCTTAATAATACGCCTCTACACTGTACAGCGATCGCTTGTTTTCGGCGATCATCAAACTGACAGTGAAATCAAGTCACCATGCACAGATTTTAACATGACTGTATGGGCGTCTGAAATTGGTTACGGTTATTAATAATATCTCTACTAGTGGTACGTATTGGGGTCAGTTCTTCGACAAGTGGTAACAGCTTATCAATGTCTCCATCGTGTGTAGGTGGTCTCAAACCTGGTTACAAAATGTAATGTTAATTACTATCTTAAAGTCACTATTATTATTGTCGTTGTTTTCTATTGTATAAAGAAAAGAGCTAGTGTGTGTGTGTGTGAGAGAGAGAGAGAGAGAGAGAGAGAGAGAGAGAGAGAGAGAGAGAGAGAGAAAGAGAATGAGTGTGAGTAAAACGATGCGATATTTAGGCTATTTATGTACGGTATATGTTCTTGCTCCTGCCCCTCACCCCCCACCCCGGTCGTACATGTAATCTAAACTAATATCCATTGCACATTACACATTTTATACCTGAATAATTTGGTTCGTTTGATCAAATTATGCCAAAAATGGTAGCTTCGCCCATTGAATTATAATCTGACTGTATCAAATGCATTAAGTGAACCAAATGTACCAAATTATGGGCAATGTTACCCTGGATATATAAAATCGATCTTTTAATGGTTTCAGTTTAGTTTTAGTAAGGTTTTGCGGCGCTCGCAACTGCATAAGGTCACACATGTATGAGCGCAAGTGGGTGGGTGTCAACAGAAAAGTCCAAACAGGGATTCATGCTACTCTGCTCACTTCTCTATCCTCAACAGCACAACGTCTGCTTCAACTATCAAGGCACCCCGGAAATAGCAGTTCATAAGAGAGTGACAAACATCCAAAATAGGTGGAGGAAAAATGACGATGACGATAGTAAAGATGAGGAAAGAAAAAGGAGCAGTTCCCCCTAAGTTGTTTCGGCACAGCATGAGCATCACATTGATAAGTCAGCCCATTTACAATTCTACTGTCCATACGAACATGTTAATATCCCCCGTTTGAGAATGGCTTAAAGACACTTCAGTAGGTGGCATTGCCCTGGGAGGGAGGAGGAGGGGGGGGGTTACGATTTAATCCCAGACACCAACAACAAACACTAAACAAATTATTCTGAGCTTTCCTTTTATGGACAAGATAGAAATCATATTCAGATGATTTGATGACTCTTGAAATTGGCCTTCAAGCTACAAGATACCTACTTACTTTACTTTTACTTTTTCATCCTCTGTTGCCGTTAAGCGTCGAGGGGAGATACAGTTTTCTATGGTAGGCCAGCTCCGCAGCTCTTTCAGTTGTGATGTTATGTTTTCTGAGGGTTTCCTTGACACCCTTGATCCACCTTTTGCGTGGCCTTCCTCTTCCTTTATAGCCTGAGTGCTTGGTGTTGTTAGCTCTCGAGGATGGTTGGTCTGGTGAGATGCGTAACAGGTGGCCAAACCATTTTATCCTCTGTCTTTCTATGTAACGCAGGCGGGACTCAGTGCCGATAGTTGCTCTCACTTTTTCATTTCTCTGCCTGTCTCGTCTTGTGATGTTAAGGGTTTTGCGGAGACATTTCGTTTCGCAGGCGGTGATTTTGCTTTCATGGGTTTTGCTTAATAAAGTCTTGGTCTGGCACTGATAACATAATGTTGGTATGAATATTGAGGTGATAAGTTGTCTCTTTATGTGCATGGGGATGTTTGGATGAGATAGGAGGGGTGCGAGCTGGTAGGTGACAGCGTTGGCTTTTTGAGTTTGCACTTCTATTTGTGAAGCAGCGTGGTGAAATCAGGCTCTCGTCAAAATAATTAAAGTGAGGAAACTTGCACTTTTCCGCAGGTTTATGAATTTTTATGAATTTTTTTTTTTTTTTTTTTTGCTCAACACCTTTCATACCCATTAAAGAACTCATTTCTGGGTGGATTTTTCTGAAAAACGTTGGTTAAAGGCGGAAAAAAATGTAAATTTTCAGTTACCATGGACTCTTAAGCTAAGGAAATAACTAATCTTCGGCGGCCATTTTCTCACTCATTTTACCTCTGAAAACAGGTGACCCCCACCTCCTTCATTCGCAAATATCTCGACTTGTATTCAAGATAAACGGATATTTTTTTCATTCAAATAAAGACAAGTGAACAAGCTTTAAGATGATGCCAATAACTCTACATGCACAAAAATTGACGAGAGCCTGATTCCACCACGATGCCTCACATTTATCTGTCTATGGAACCGTTTTCAGAAAAAGTGCTGCCAGGATATTTAAGGGGGGGGGGGGGGGGGGGGGCTACACCTGAAAGCTATCTCGCGTATTACTGGACCGAATTTTACCAACTTTCACACATTTAGCAAGCATAGTAAGGAGTCTTAAAATCCGCAATCAAATTTGAGAAATATGTTTCGTTTCCAGGGATACGGCGGTCATATTGTACCACAGGTCTGTGGTTCGTGTCGATGATGTAGTTTGGAACCGCTCTCGTATCTTTGGCTGTATGTCTCCTTTTCTGTTGCAGTCGGTATCTTTTTCCCTATGAGGTCCCAAGTACTTTTCCCAGGGGTTTTTTCTTCGTCCAACTCTGCCATTTAAATCTCCTAAGATAAATGTATCTTCTTTGTTCTTGATGGTGTTAATATGGTCACCCAGGTCTTGGAAATATGATTGTCTATCTTCCTCTGTATAGCAGTCTTTACAGCGAGCGTATGTTTGGATGTACGTTGTTGTTTTGCCACCCTCTATCAGTTTTATGCGCACTATTCTCTCTGAGATCTGATTGATTTCATAAATTGTATACATTTTGGCTGGGTGTATGCTGAAAGCTACACCATGTTTGGCTCTCTCGTTTTCAGGTGTTCCGCTCCAGATCAAGAGGTAGCCTTTGTGGGTCAGCTTGCTGTGGTTGCCTCTCTTCTTTACAAGATACCACTCTTCCTAAAACAACCCACTGGGAAAGGTTTGCGGATGCAGCTGTTTTCTTCTCAGTGTAGCCCTGATAGTTGTTTTTTTTACAGTAAGGCAAAAAATGTTCTAGATTAGATGTAAACCACTTCTTTTAAACTTGACTTATAACAACCATATATGTATTATCGATTGGTCCGTGTGTGTGTATGTATGTGTGTGTGTGTGTGTATGTGTGTGTGTGTGTGTATGTGTGTGCCTGTACACATGTGTGGAATCCGAACCAGGACCTTTATTTCAGAGTTTATTATACTGTAGCGTGTGAAGAGTCACGGAAATGGATGTACAGAAAAGTGGGAAGACATGGGGTCATGGAGCGAAATCAAGCGGCTAGCCCAGCATAGGGAAAGGTGGTGGAAAGCGTTTGTTCGTGGCCTATATCCTGATACAGGGTGAGAAAGGCAATTTTAAAGAAATGTAATCATCAGTCTTATCTGTCAGTCTATGGCCCTGCCTGTTCTTATCTTGGACAACGTTTGATGACACAATTTATTACTGTACTTTACAATACTATTACTATGAAGACTGTATTGTGAGTGCAACTGAAAAGATCGAGTTCTGTCAGTTTTTGTTAATAGTAACCGACCATAGCAATGATAATTATTATATTTAATTTGTACGTAGGCTACTTGTTTACTATAGAAAAAAGGGGCGACGTTTTACGTCACAGCTAGGTGCCACGATAGCTTAGTATTGAGGCTTTCTTGTCTAGCCTACGTTGTGACCGCGGTTAAAGACAGTCTTGAATCATATATACATACACACACACACACACACACA